GAGGCCAGGAGTTTGAGACCAGCATGGCCAACATGGTGAAGCCCTGTCTCTACTGAAAATACAAAGATTAGTCAGGCATGTTGGCGCACACCTGTAATCCCAGCTTCAGGAGGCTGCGGCACAAGAAGCGCTTGAACCTAGGAAGTGGTGGTTGCAGTGAGCTGAGATATGTCACTGCACTGCACTCCAGCCTGGGCAACAGAGCGAGACTCTGGCCTCCCCCCGCCGCCAAAAAAATTAGAAGGTGTTTTGATTAGAGGTAAAATGTGGCTAAAATGAATGAAGCTACCCAAATGCTTCTGTGTGCGCTGTGCTTTCTGTTATCTGCAGCCTCCACCATTGCCCTGCAGGGAAGGGGCCTTTGGACTCCGAGGCTCAGTGAAAGGAAATTTGCACTTTGCCCTGGGCCTCCTGGCTACCAAGAGAGAAGCCAGGGTTTGAACATAGGCTTGCCTGGTTCTGAAATCTGGACTCTTTCTCTCTCTGCCAGACTGCCCCTGCCTGGAAAGCCATCTGCCAGGGCCTGATGACCCCATGGGGAAGAGGAATAGCTGGCTTAGGTGGTGACTGCTGCTCCTAAAATGGTGTGTGAGCTCAGAGTGCATTTTGGCAGACACCCCATCCCCTGCCTCCCGGAAGAGGAGAAATAGGACGGTCATGCAACAATGGAAATTGAGTTAGAAGGAAGGCAGACACTGGGAGACCTGGCTTTCCTCTGTCGGGTGGGGCTTCAAAAAGCTCAGGCCAAGAGTGGAGTCCATGGATTTTTCAGAAATACAAATGTTTTATGGGCACACAACTTGGCAGTCACTTCAGACTTCTTGGTAATTCTTTTTTTTTTTTTTTTTTTTTTTTGAGACGGAGTTTCGCTCTTGTTACCCAGGCTGGAGTGCAATGGCACGATCTTGGCTCACCGCAACCTTCACCTCCTGTGTTCAAGCAATTCTCCTGCCTCAGCCTCCCAAGTAGCTGCGACTGCAGGCACACACCACCGTGCCCAGCTAATTTTTGTATTTTTAGTAGAGATGGGGTTTCACCTTGTTGACCAGGATGGTCTCGATCTCTTGACCTCGTGATCCACCCGCCTCGGCCTCCCAAAGTGCTGGGATTATAGGCGTGAGCCACCGCACTCGGCCCTCTTGGTAATTCTTACTTGGTAAACGTGACACGTTTCCTGACTGGACTTCTGCTGTTCCAGTTTGATCAGTGCCACTGGCTAGAGATTGGGGAGGGAGGATTGACCTTAGACGAGAGATTCTAAGTGTTCCTTGGGGCCGGCCAGGTCTACTTTTGTTTCTTCTAGGACAGTGCCACTCACACTAGTGTTGATGGACCAACTTTTAAAAAATTTGTAAGTGAGGATTTATACTTCTATAAAATAAAAAGAACAGGAAAAGAAACTGAAAAAGACATGCAGAATACAAACTCTAAATTTTTATTATTAGATTCAACAGATATAAAATTACTTTGTCAGTTCCCATAAAAGTTTCTAAACTCTTGGCTGGGCACAGTGGCTCACACCTGTAATCCCAGCAGTTTGGTAGGCTGAGGCTGTTGGATCATGCGGTCAGGAGATGGAGATCATCCTGGCCAACATGACCCTATCTCTGCTAAAAATACAAAAAGAAAAAAAAAATTTTTTTTTTTGAGATGGAGTTTTGCTCTTGTTGCCCAGGCTGGAGTGCAGTGGCAGGATCTCAGCTCACTGTAACCTCCACCTCCTGGGTTCAAGTGACTCTCCTGCATCGCCTCCAAAGTAGCTGGGATTACAGGCATGTGCCACCATGCCTGGCTAATTTTGTGTTTTTAATAGAGACAGGGTTTCTTCATGTTGGTCAGGCTGGTCTCAAACTCCAGACCTCAGGTGATCTGCCCACCTCAGCCTCCCAAAGTGCTGGGATTACAGGTGTGAGCCACCTCACCCAGCAAAATTAAAAAATTAGCTGGGCATGGTGGCGCGTGCCTGTAATCCCAGCTATTCAGGAAGCTGAGACAGAAGAATCGCTTAAACCAGGGAGTTGGAGGTTGCAGGGAGCCAAGGTTGCGCCACTGCACTCCAGTCTGGCAACAGAGCAAGACTTTGTCTCCAAAAAAGGGGGAAAAAAAGTTTCTAAACACTTATTCTCAATTTCTGTACTGCAGGCAATGCATTTGACTGCAGACATAGTCTAGTCCTGGACTGGTACACTTCAAGATCAGTGATCTAGGAAGAAAGTTTGTTAAGCAAATTAGTAGAATAAACAAGATATTTTTAGAATATGTACCTGATTTTTTTTTCTTTTTTTCTTTTTTTTTTTTTGAGACGGAGTCTTGCTCTGTTACCCAGGCTGGAGTGCAGTGGCTCAATTTCAGCTCACTGCAACTTCTGCCTCCTGGGTTCAAGTAGCTGGGATTACAGGCACCCACCACCATGCCCAGCTAATTTTTGTATTTTTATTAGAGACGAGGTTTCACCATATTGGTCAGGCTGATGTTGAACTCCTGCCCTCAGGTGATCCACCCGCCTCAGCCTCCCAAAGTGTTGGGATTACAGGCGAGAACCACCACGCCCAGCCCATTTTACCTGATTTAAGAGTAAAAATAATTTCTTTGCATTTAAAATGCTTCACATCTTTTCAGTAAAGTTCCATATTGGCAGGCAGGGATGTAAAAATATACCAAAAATATAGTTGTGAGGGGTTCCTAAGTCTAACCCTAAACTGGTGGCAGTACTTGGAAAAATAGTTGCTTTTACTTCCTCTGTTGTTTCTGAGAAGCATTACATATTCTACTGATTTAATTTACATTAGAATATTTTCTCTGTTAATTTCTGGCTAGGCTTTGAATTGATCTGTGTATTTCAGGGCATAATTTTAGGTGTATTCTTTTAGGGGAAAGTTCCCTAAGTGGTTGTGGTTGCGGTTGTTGTCATTTTTTTTTTCTTGCTCTGTCATCTAGCCTGAAGTGCAGTGGTGCAATACCAGTTAACTGTCACCTTGAACTCCTGGGCTCAAACAGTCTTGTCACCTCAGCCTCCTGGATAACTGGGACCACAGGCATGCACCACCACACCTAGCTAATTTTTTAATTTTTCCTAAGCAAACTAAAAAAAAGAAAAAGTCTCAAGAGTTGAATATGCTGATAGTAATTATGTGTAGCTTAATTGTTCATATTTCAAAATTGGCTTTTTGTTCTCTAGCTGCCAGTTATATCTTATATTTGTGGCTTTTTTTTGGCAGGGGGGCTGTCTTCCTTGTTCTGAGATGACTGGCGTATGCTGTTCTGTCAGGCCAGGGTTCTCTTTCCCTGCCGTCCGAGCCTGCTCAGAAGCTGTCTTTTCTCAGACAGCCTGTCCATGGCCACCGTCCTGGGCCCCACTGCTCACTCACAGCACTCGGCTGAGCTGCCTTCAGCCCACCTTGCTGCACAGCAGCTACTCCCCTCCACTGGCCCCCTTTCTCCTCACTCCAAAGTCAGGACTCCCTTTTGTTTTGTATGGTGCTTTGTATTATACTTTTCAAGGCTCTTTCATGTATATATTCTCTTATTTCATCCTCCAGACAATCCCATGAGGTTGGTAGAACAGAGATTTTCATCTCCGTTTTAACTGAGGTGAGGCTGGGAGAGTGTCCGCATGGCATGTACCCTCATTCCTTTGCCCTGGGGCTCCCAGAGCTACTTGTTACCACTCAGGTCCAGACTTCCACATGTGCAAGGTTTTGAGTTCGCTCAAACACGCCTATAATTTTGAGGTCCTCTTTTCTACTCATTATTTATATTTGTTATTGCAAAGTCAAACATTAGACTACTTGGTTCAGTGTCACAGGCCTCTTTGGAAGAAAGAAATCTTCAGAACCTGAGGGGACAGTCAGTAGAGAACTAGAGCCGGGAGCCCCAGAGGGCCACGCAGGGTGAACTGGGTGTCTTGAGGGACAAGTTCTGTTTCAGGGTTAGTTGTATCCACCTGAGATTTTCAGACAAGAGTGGGAGGGGATGGGTTTTCCCTTATTTCACCAATAAAAGCCCAGCATATTGGGATGACACAGAACATTTCTCATGAAGAAAAGAATTCTTGAAAGGAGGGAGGGCACATTGAAAAATCGCTTTACACTCAAGTGAGAAATCATTTGCTTTTGACTCTCTTTCCCCATCCCCTTAATGGTCAAACAGACCTGGGTTCCAAATCCAGTCCTGCCGCTTACTAGGTAGGTATGGTGACATTGATCAAGTTATTTAACTTCCCTAAACTTGTTTTCTCATCTGTAAAATGTGTAAAATATTGTCCACTTTGGAGCAGTATTTTTAGGATTAAAGATAATGCATGTAAAGCACCTTGATTATGACCTCGATAAGTCAGTGTTCCCTAAAACCTAATTCAGAAGAAGGATTTTGACCCGAGGAGGAGCGAGTGTATAGCGTGGGCTCCAGCAGTGGTTCTTAGACTTGAGCAGGCATCAGAATCACCTGAAAGGCTCTTTAAACTACAGCTTGCTGGCCCTACTCCCTCCCATAGTTTCTGATTCATTTAGTCTGGAGTAAGGTTTGAGATTTCACATTTCTAAGTTCCCACATGCTGCTGCTGCTGCTTCTGGTTTGGGGACTACACTTTGAGAACCACGGGGCTACAGGTAACTGGCCAGTGGACATTTAGGTGCTGTAGACGCATTTGAAAGCTGAGCTTTTATGTGGCTCCTCTGTTAGATACTGATTGAAATGCATTTTGAAAATACTGAATTTAGTATCTCAAGGATATTTCCTGCTGAAGTGTTACATATATTTGAGGGAGAATAAGTTGTGAAGGTAACAGTTATATTATAGATAGTCTAATAATATCCAGTTGGCTAAGGTATGTGAAAGTGCTTTTATAAAATGTAAGATGAATATTAAGTCACAACTGAAAAAATATTTTAAATAACTTCATTTTTAAGATTAAACACCATATTGGAGTATAAAATAGCATAACTTAGATTTCTCATCTCAATGTGCTGTTTACTATATGTATTTTTCTCTTTCTCCTCCAGGCTGCTGACTTGAGTAAACCAATAGATAAAAGGATATACAAAGGAACACAGCCTACTTGTCATGACTTCAACCACCTAACAGCCACAGCAGAAAGTGTCTCTCTCCTAGTGGGCTTTTCTGCAGGCCAAGTCCAGCTTATAGACCCAATCAAAAAAGAAACTAGCAAACTTTTTAATGAGGAAGTAAGTAGCACCCTGTCTTAGCTGTTAAGAATCCCTTTAAGAATTGGTGCATTCTTACCAAGGGTAGTGGGCCCCCTTTTGCACTTCAAGCTAAGCCCATTTTTTATTCGCTCAGCCCTCCTCCCTAGTATGCCCAGGTTTAAATGTGGTGGATTAATTTGTTGACCTTACCTGTTCCCTTGGGGTAACTGTTTTGTGCATTTTTATGGAGCATGCTCAGGCGTCTGTAACAGGTGTTTTAAAACTCTTCTGTAGTGGAGATAGGGACAGAACTATAACTTGGTATTTATACTTTAAGAAAATGTAGAATTCCAATCTTGCATCACTGAACATTTCATGCAGATCAAAGAACTTGATAACATTTCCTTAGGTGCTTAAAATGTAGCTAAAGCTTCTGTATGTATCTGTTTGACAGGCATTTGGCTAAGGAGTACTTCACTTGCTCTTGAAAATAGTTGCTGTAAATTCACCTTGACGTAGTTAGAAATCGTGGCACTTAAATTTGGGTCACATGACATAGCTTTTGACAGTGTTGTAGTATGTACTGGGGTTTCTGGTATCTTCAGTTTCATTTTGGAAACAGCTTGAGATATCTGAGCTGTCTGTTCAGGAACATGTCAGGACTGTTAAATGTGGCATATAGAAATTGCCAGATAGATTATGTTTTTAAAAGCTATTGGAGCATCTTTTAGCCTCAGATATTACTATTTCATATTTAATGTTCTTCCTCCTCTGTTTCAGTATGACTTTTCTACCAAATGGAAAAGATAAGGGAGGCTTGCTGTTTTAGAAGCCCTGGGTTCCAATCTCTACTTGGGACCTCACCCCTGATGTGCAAGAGTCAGGCTATGTAGGACCCCTCCCTTAGAAAGGATAAGTGCTTTTGCATTGTTGCAGGGTTTTAACATCATTAACTTGGAACAAAAACACATTACAGAGTATGATATTTAAGAAATAATTTGGGCTGGGCACGGTGGCTCAAGCCTGTAATCCTAGCACTTTGGGAGGCCGAGGCTGGTGGATCACGAGGTCAAGAGATCGAGACCATCCTGGTCAACATGGTGAAACCCCTTCTCTACTAAAAATAAAAAAAAATTAGCTGGGCATGGTGGCACGTGCCTGTAATCCTAGCTACTCAGGAGGCTGAGGCAGGAGAATTGCCTGAACCCGGGAGGCAGAGGTTGCGGTGAGTCGAGATTGCACCATTGCACTCCAGCCTGGGTAACAAGAGCGAAACTCCGTCTCAAAAAAAAAAAAAAAGAAAGAAATAATTTTGTTTGGGGAAGAAAATTCAACTTGACAAATGGCAGTAAACATTTGGATTCTTTGGCAGTCATGGTATTTGCTATTCATGCAAATTCAGTATCCACCCAGGGTGCTCCTGTTTGACATTGCCAGTGGATTTGATGAGATCTATGAGCCATGCCATCTCTTCTAGTTTCCTCTGAGTTGTCTGGAAACAAAACTTGTCATCTGAACTGACAGACTATAGAGGAAAAGTATTTAATTCCATTTTTCATTAAAAAATGTTAAGCAGAAAATATTTTATTTACCTAGATGTTTTATTAATATCATCTGAGGAAGTGATGCTTAAATAGCTGGATGATTATTTTTTTGATGCTGGGTCAGGGTAACAGCACACAAAATTGACCTCCTCTGCACTGTTAGCAGAAATTGTGAATTTGGCATTGTTGTGTGTTTGTTGTTTAGGTAGGGGAGAGTGTGATTGAGGGGGCAGGGATTGGAGCCATGTAAAGGGCTGTTAGTAAACAAGACCCGGAGGCAGCCCTGGCCGAGGATGGTACAGAATGCCGCTTAGAGAACAAGAAAGGTTTGTGTGTAATGGCAGGAGGAGGGCCAGGAGTTGGAGACCACATGTCACCGGAATCTCATGGCTCTGGGAGCACTCAGGCTGCATCAGCCAGAACCATCCCTGCCTTGGTGACTGAGAGTTGCAGGCATTCTTCATGATTTAAGTATGAGTTATCTCATACTCATTTTACATTTTATTTGAAAAATGGCTATTTAGAATGCTAGGACTATGTGTGGTTTAATGCCAGCTTGCCAGCTTGATGTTTACAGCGTGAGGCTGAAATTGATTGCTCTTCATGGTAAGGAAATTCTTTAGCCGTGTGGATACATTTTTATCAGATTTTGGTCAGGATATCTAAGTTGAGCAAGGGTTAACAGAGGTTTGTTCCTTAGAGAGTGCCAGGAATGATGGTGAAGTAGTCATCGTGCTGTGCTTTGCTGTGGTGTGAGATTTAGAGGTTTTACCTATGGCCTCTCCAGGGAGGGTGGGCAGTTCTTCCCATTTCACAGATGAGGAAATAGTCAAAGATCAGGCAAGTGAATTGTCCAGATGAGGTAGCAAGTTGATGGTAGAGTTGGAACCAGAAATTAATTCCAGAAACTCTTACTGGTTATAGGCCCCACCATGCGTGGTTGCCAGATCAGTGCTTGCCCTTCTGGGAGCTCACAGTTAAGTAAGGATGGGCGGAGATTACTGGGCATATGTATGCATAGCGATATGAACAAAATACCAAGGCATAGCTGCCACAGGAATTCTTGAGTGTGCATCACATATCATAAAGTTTTTAAAAATGTTAAGGTTGCCAGGCGTGGTGGCTCATGCCTGTAATCCCAGCACTTTGGGAGGCCGAGGCGGGTGGATCACGAGGTCAAGAGATCGAGACCATCCTGGTCAACATGGTGAAACCCTGTCTCTACTAAAAATACAAAAAATTAGCTGGGCATGGCGGTGCGTGCCTGTAATCCCAGCTACTCAGGAGGCTGAGGCAGGAGAATTGCCTGAACCCAGGGGGCGGAGGTTGCGGTGAGCCGAGATCGCGCCATTGCACTCCAGCCTGGGTAGCAAGAGCGAAACTCCGTCTCAAAAAAAAAAAAAAAAATGTTAGAGTCACTGGGGGAGTTCAAGAAATGCTTTCAGAAAATGATGTTTGTTCTGGGTCTTAAAGGGTACATAGTTGTTAGAGGAGAGTAAGGAAGGCCTTCAAAGCTGGAGGAACAACTAGGCATAAGAAAGAGCATTCAGTAACAGCATGGCCACCTCACACAGTGTAGGATTTGGAGTGTCAGGGTTCGAAGCTGGAAAGATAGATTAGAGCCAGCTTGTATTATAAAAGCCCTTTGTGTCCTGCAAAGAAATTTGGAGCTGACACTGGAGGATGTGGGGGAACCTTTGGCCTCTTAATCAAGGGAGTGACAGGATCACATGTGTTTTTTTAGAACTCTTGTCAGCACTTGTGGAAGGTGGATTGGAATGAAGAAAGACAGAATGAAGGTAGCAAGACCAGTGAGGAGGCTCTAGTAACTGTCCAGGTGAGAGCTGAGGGCGTGAACTAGGGTTGTGACCATTGTTTCATTTATTCAGGACTTTGACCACCTACCACATGCCCAGCACTGGGTCTGCAGCAGCAGGCAAAACCTGCCCTCCTGTGACCTCTGTCAGGAGGGAAGAGAGGTATAATAGCACCACCCAGGCATACTGGGGACCACAGATGGTGACACTTTGTGATGTAAAGGGCAAGAGAGCAGGCCTGAGAAAGGGAGAGAATCACAGAGGTCTCCTTTATGTATGTATGTATGTATGTATGTACGTATGTACGTATGTATTTGACAGAGTCTTAATCTGTCATCTAGGCTGGAGTGCAGTGGCACAATCTGGGCTCACTGCAACCTCCACCTCCCAGGTTCAAGCTGCTCTTGTGTATTACCCACCCAAGTAGCTGAGATTACAGGCATGTGCCACCATGCCCAACTAATTTTTGTATTTTTAGTAGAGTTGGGGTTTCACTATGTTGGCCAGGCTGCTCTGGAACTCCTGGCTTCAAGTGATCTGCCCACCTCAGCTTCCCAAAGTGCTGGAATTACAGGCGTGAGCCACCATGGCTGGCCAACACAGAGATCTACTTTAAACTGGGAGGCAGAGAACATCTCTTAGAGGAAGTGGTATGCTTTAAGCTGAGCCTCATATGAGAAGAAGGCCAACCAGGTAAGGAATTGGAGATGGAGCATTCTTGCAAAAGGAATAGCAGGCAAGGGCCCTTGAGACCAAGAAAACTGGAAGGACAGTTTACCTGGGGAAAGCAGCATGAAGTAAGGGCATGAGATTGGAGGCCACATCCCTTAGGGCCTGATCCAAAATGGTTTCTTAGCCCAAAGTATCAGATCCCTTAGAAGAGAGCAGGTGCACAAGGCAGGAAGAGTGGTGTTTTTGAAAGGTACCCTGGCTGCTTCTTGGAGACTGAATTGGAGAGATGTATTAATAAATCTTAGGTTTCTGGCTGCCTCTTGCTGCATTGAGTGAGACTGGGAAGGGAGAAGTTGTCAGGGAATGGAGGGGAAGATCAGAGATTCTGGTCTGTACTTGGTAAGTTTGAGAGACCTGTAGATAGTGGGACGTACCGATCTGGGGCACAAATCTAGGTGTAACAATTTGGCAGTTGTCGTCATAGAAGTAAAAATCACATCCTTGAGATAGAAGACAGGGTCTTTGGAGAGAGGATGGTGAGAAAAAGAAGGCCTGGGACTGAGCCCTGATTATACTCCAAGATTCCAGCCATCTCATCTACTGCTTTCAAAGGAGCACTTAACACACAGTTCATTACCACGACATTTACAACTTCACAGCTTAGAGTTCTGAGCGCTCAGACACCAGGTCGGCCACTTTCTGCTTGCAGGATGTGGGTCTCACCTCTCTTCCTCGGTTGGGAAATGGGTGGGAACGGCACCCACCTGAGAGGTTTGTGGTGAGGCTCAGGTGAATCGGTTCAGGCAAGGTGTTTGTGAAGGGCCTGAAGAGCAATCCTTGGCGAATGCTCAGCAACGTGGAGGTTGAGAGAAACTCAGAGGCTTCCTTTCCCGGGAGGAGTGGCATTGGAAGGAAAGACTTCTGTGGGAGGTGAGGTACCAACAGTTTTGAAAGATAAATAGTTTTCTAGGACAAACAGGTTCAGGAGCACAGCAACCCAGGCAGA